TCCAAAATTGGGAGTCCATCAATTTACTTGAAATCATTGATCATGGATGCTTCCCATTTGATAATGATTATGTTATAATATGTATTAGTTTCAATATCATTAGCATAATGATGTTAACAGAATGTTTATATTTTCATATGAGATATCATTACAAACTCAGAAAGTTCTTTGACATAAAATAAATTATAATGCGTCCACAAGGATGCACAGGGTTTTATTTGGGGGTACTTCATCAAATTTCTGTGTCCAATACACAGGAATCACACGTCCCGTAAAACCCTGGTTTTAAGGCAGATTTTGTCTTACTGTAATCCAATGGACATTGTCAATACTAACATCAAAACCTGGTTATATTGAGGTGCGGTTCAGGCCTCAACGTTATCGCTAGTATATTGCTGACAGCAGCATAAAATAAACAGATACAGTGAAGATTACCCAGCAATTTCACTGATAATTAGGAAAACAGTGTCAGAAGCTATCCCCTCACAGCATGTTCATTATTGATCCTTCCTGGGCCCCTTCATCAGGTCAGTGTGTGGTAGATAACATTCCCCGTCGCAGTTCACTCAGGAAATATTGGTGGCAAACCAAAGTCAATGAGATCACACACATTTTCAGATGTGGGACCCTTGATAAATATGATGAAGTAAGTGTTATGGCAATCCTATACAACACGCTGCAGGAGGCCCCTGTTAGTTTGAAATCATCATCTGAAGGTTGATGCCAGGCTTTAAGTATTATTCCGTGTACGTTTGCTTGAAGCACTGATGCTGCCTTGAGGAGGGTTGTGATGTGATAATTTACTTTCAGTAATCATTTAAACTCCTTAACATTGGATCACCATATGAGTTAATGGTGTTGTTATGTGTGTACTTTAATTGTTCACAACCTCGTTCAATTTATTTTAAATATGATGTATAGTAAACTGTGTTTTTAACGAACACATTATATGAATTTTTAGCCCCAGCCACTTGCTTCCTATTTTACTCAATGCATATAACAAGCTAAAATTAGTGATCCCTTAAGTTCATTATAATGATAGTTAATGTGTTATTAGTACACTTACCCGTGAAGGTCTGGGTTAGAATGAACCTTCAGTAACCCATGCTTGTCGTAAGAGGCGACTAACGGGATCAGGTGGTCAGGCTCACTGACTTGGTTGACACGTGTCATCGGTTCCCAGTTGTGCAGATCGATGTCAATGCTGTTGATCAGTGGATTGTCTGGTCCAGACTCGATTATTTACAGACCGCTGACATATAGCTGGAATATTGCTGAGTGCGGCGTAAAACTAAACTCACTCACTCACTCACTGTCAGTACACTTCAAAAGGTGTGTGTGGGGTATGTGTGTGGAAGGGTGGTCTCATCTCCCCACTTCTTGGGGTTTGCATTATAATTAGGTAGTATTAGAACGATTTCTTTGCTGACAATTGTGGACTAGGTTAGATCAGATGTTTATCATGATAATGGCCCCGCTGATGAATTAACGAAAGCAAGTAATTATGTGCAAATATTCTCACTAGACCAAATAATGAGAGCTGATAACAGATGAACCCTGTTCCTGACTCAAGATACTTGCCACAGGTCTCAGGTTGGATATATAGTGTTTGGTTCTGTGTTGATGCTACAAGATGCATTGAAAATGGACACTCTTCTCCCCCAAAGTACAGGGAGCCATCGGTGGCAGTTGGTGCAGACTTAACCAGGAATTCTGGAATATGGCAGATAAGCCTTATCAAAGTGTGCTCAGTTTTCTATTATCTGGTCAAAGAATGTTCTGTGACAACTCTGGCAAACTCTGTGATGGTTTATCAGCCATTTGACTCTGTTTTAATTGCAAGAATACCTCCAGGCTGGCTAAATAATTATGCCCAGTCTATTTTGGTCATGGAAGTGCCGTCTTTGCAGATTCTGATTGGCTCACATTACTAATCTGTCCGGTAGTAAAGATTAATTGACATTCTGATTGGATGGAATGGATTGACATTAAATGAAGTGGTCAAATAAATGCAGTTAGGTGATTAGATGGTAGATTGGACAATATCGTGAAAGTCCAAGTTTTGAGAACAGTCATGATTGATCTTGACTGAAGATATGTCTGTGATAAGTATATATTCAAATTATGAAGTCTTTCAAATTATTTTTCAACTGAAGTATATTCAAGGAAAAACGTTTCCCAATACCTACGATTTTTAACCACATATAGCCATTTATATTCATATCTTATGATGCACCATACAGTCATTTCAGATATGCACATTCTAATATCAAAGGCGAGGATCCTGTGCAATATGTGTACCTGTCATTAAGCAAATATCAAGTTTCAGTGAAATGTTCTTGCCAATACACAACTTGGAAAAATCAATTGATTTTATTGTTCACAAACAAATTGGTGCCTCCTCAACTGACAACTTTTAAAGTTATTGTTATGCTGGCATGTCATTAGGGGCCTGAAAACATCAGCAGTCTTATGACAGGTCGACCACAACTGAGAACTAGCAGGGAGCATACAACCCATCACAGACTCACAACAATTTATCCATTCATGTTGAATAGTGTGTTAAAGACAGAGTGGCTTTCACATCGTCATTTGTCCAACAGAATAGTCTGAAATTGCCTAACATCAGACGGATATAGAGCCAGACGACCTTCGATAGTTCCTTTCTTATAGCTAACGATAGTATTGATAATTTCCATGTGTGCATTTGCATCCATTTGATTTTGTTCACATATACACACACATCAAACACACCACACACATACCACACACACATCGAAAAAACAAAACAAAACCCACTCCCCCCCCCACACCTCACCCCATACATAGACAAGACAACACACACACACACACACACACACACACACACACACACACACACACACACACACACACACACACACACACACACACACACACACACACACACACACACAAATTGCACACACATTGCACACACATCACATACACATCACATGACCATATAACATAATTCCGTTATAACAAGCTGGCAGACGATGCTTTGTCGGGAAGTTTGTTATTATAGAATATTAGTAATGCAATCCTATGATAGTCAGACAGCAAATTGTTTTGGAATCTGAGATCCGACACAAAGCGTAAAAGTGAGCGAGTTAGTTCAGTCAGGAACATTCAAGATGTAACACAGCTGCCTGTGGGTGATCCTCTGGGCCATTGTTTAATGGCTCTATCCACACCCACATGATGTAGGGATGTACGATGTGATGGCTCTATCCACACCCACATGATGTAGGGATGTATGAGGTGATGACATGTTATCAACCAAGTCACATCTTATAACCACCTGATCTTCATTTGTTGCACCCAAAGGAATTCTGGGTGAGACCAGGTCCCCAGCTGACAACCATATGGAATAAGTGGTCGGACTTGCTGTATACTCGTGGATCATTGCTCAAAATATCGCTGGATTGTCTGGTCAAGGCTCAATTATATACAGACCGCTGTACAGCATAAAAAACCAATAAGTTTCAAGGAACTTAATGAACCATGTTTTCCTGCTCTACAATCTCCCCAAGCCATTCTGTCCAATACTCCTGCCCTGATTCAGATGCTGAAATTCAGTGTCTTCAAGGGAGGTAAGCTACAAGCATCCTTGAGATGATGCATCATGGGGTTACACTTTTGTGATTTTTGCGTGGGGTTCTGATGTGTGATCAACAGTATGAATACAAGATAAGTGCTTGGTCTTCAAAGCTTTCAAGATGGTTACTGATTTGTTAATGCTATTCAGTACTGGTTGAATGCTTATGGTGTGTTAGTCGTTTGAGGTATTGATTGGTTGTAAAGTGTGATAAGAAACAGATTCTCAAATGTGGGAAAACCCATACTGTAGGAATAAACCATTACATATTTTGAGATTTTACTTATGACGGCTCCTCATCTAAGTGGCAGTAGGAACTGAAGTCAGGTTAGGAGCTACGGGATCAATAAATCAATGTTAAGTTCACGTTTGTTCCTCTGTAGACAAATGGCAGTTGGAGGGATTTTGTGAGATTTTTATTACCTGTGACGATGCTTCAGCTTTTGAATTGTGTATAAATGGGCAGTTTCACTGGCAGTGCTGATGGAACATCCATGTTACACACTTTCATGTATTGTGAATATTTTGGTAACCTTTTGATATGTTCAACTGGGTTATCCACCATGGACTTATATGAGAGGCAAAGTTCTGATCCAAAGATATTTTGAGTGCATTGTAGTTTTAGCTCCAGGGGAAATTGTCTGTCGATGGTGGTATCAGTAACCAGTCTACAGTTTTAACTTCTTCTGGATCCAATTCAGTTTTCCGACACCTAAAGCTGAAGCTGCTTGCTGGAAAGGGACATGAGATTGTGTTGGAGGTGGGCATCTCAGATGGTCATTACTCTGTTCCCAACATATTGTTCTCAACAATGAAGCTGTATTGGAGATGGATCAAGTTTTGTGGGTCTTCATGTATCCAAGATATTTAAGTTTAAAATATTTTGACAGTGAGACTTTATCATATCAGACATCATGACATCATGTGCAAATACACATCACAGGACATTTCTTCCTTTGAAGTCTGACTCATGTTTGATACATTGCAATATCCTTCAGTCACAATTTGTGGTTAACATGTCAGTTCTGTTGTTTCTGTTTCGACTACAAAGGTTAGCTCAACTGTTAGTTAGACCACGAGGCGTAGGGAAGTTATCGGTCCACAGCTTGTTGCAGCAATCATATAATATCCCCAATGAAGAGGTTTCAGTTTGCTCGAAGACAAAAAGGGAAAACTAATTAACGTAATTGTTGTGTTGTGTCATTGTTCAATCTTATATATACATTTAAGTTTTCAGTAGATGTTTTGTTATTGAAGTAACAACTGGATCTGTACACACTGAAAATGATCCACGTATCACAGCTTCATAATCCTTCCCTCAATAACTTCTGACTTCAATATGGATGTGACCAAAATATATTGGAATCTTTCTTCATTTCAGAGTTGTTACCAATAACTTGGAACTTTTGAATTTTGAACACATGCCAAAGAATGGACAGTTTACATGGACTGTTGGGTGTTTCTTGACATAGTGTCCCCACTGCTCCCAGCAAACCAGGGTTCCAGTGTATACTGTGCTGGATCTGACCATCTGATATAATGACCTTTTACTTCTGAACACATCTTGTTGGATGTTACATCATATGTAATGATTTATTTGGAGAACTAAAATGCTTATCATCATTGCTGATGTGACGTGTGTGTGAACATTTTGTATTGAGTTACTATTCTGTGGACTCAGCGGGCCGTGACATCGAGGACTTGGCCTCAACATGGAGTGTCTCGCCTACAATCAGCAGAGGTTCGCCTCAGTCATTGAGAACATCAACAGGGAACTTCATGAAAAAGGTGAGATTGGTGTTAGATATAGGGTGGCCATTTGTTTTTCTTCTATGATCTTCAAGTTGTCAGTGTTGCTGTGCTTTTCTTTTGGGTTTTTGTCTCAATGTTTGTTCCTTCATGCTGTCTGAGTGAAGATTGTCATAGATGTGTCTATCTGGTTCTGTGTTGTGTTTCCATCTGTATGTACAGTGTTGCAGTAAGTTTTTATACTGGTACTTCATGTCTGTGAGGAAATGCCTCCTCATATTAATCATGGTGGAATCTCTTACAGCTCTCAATATTGACCCCACATTGGCTAGACGATTATGTTCAAGAAATATTGTTCACCGTGAAGTTTAGAATGTAATTCATGGTTATATTAAAGCATGTGGCAGTTTTGCAAATCTATGAAATTTTAGGAACTTAGGTAATCTTATGATGGTCAGGGTGTAAATGGGCCTAGTTGCCCAAACACCAATTAAACGTTTAATGATCAATCAGTCAATCGTTAAGCATTGTTAGGTACTTAGATCTAATTGCCTGAGATGTCAATGTTTCTTTCTTGATGTATTTACAAGTAGCTTTTTTGAGATCCTTATATTTCCCCAGAATTGTTGGTAAGAACATGGTATATCCAGTGTATAATAGAAAATGTATCACAAGTATATACAGGAGGAATTTATTCTTTTTCATCAGCATTATGTGACCTGGAGAAAAAATAGAATATTTGTAAATAATGGGAAATTACTGTGATAGAGAACCATAGCTTAATTTCAAACTACAACTTTATGAAATATGAATTGAAGCATCTTATTGTGTATTTACTCTAGTCTTCTTGTATCCTTGTGGCTTGATAACATAGGAGTGGTTAAATACCTCAGTGGTTGAAACGTTTGTACATTATGCCGATGGCCAGAGTTCCTACTTGGTGCTAGGGCTGCGAGGAATCCACATTGAGGCCAACATGATACATATGATTTATATCGGGTAATGAATATGAATATTTTTCATGAATACCATAACATGTCACCAGTTGATGTATTTTCAATATATTCAATGAAATAAAATAATGAGTTATCTGGCATGAATTTAGATGATAATTTGCTGTGACAATGACTGATGACCTCATTACTGTCAACCAAAATATTTAAGAGTGTTGACTATTACAATGCCTGGCTTGGGTATCTGCTGTTTTGCATATCTAGGTTTGATAATAACAGACAAATTTAAGTGAAGGACATTCTCTTTTTTAAAGAAGTAATGAAAATTCAACTCTAGTGTTTGTGTCTAACAAATTGAATTCATGAAGGAATACGGTTCATTTCACTGAATATGCAAGTGGATCATAACAGCCGTTACTGGTATAATGATGGGTTACTGTAAGTGTGACTGTTGGTATAATGATCACAGGGGGCTTTTACCAGTTTTACATTTGCAAATGTTGCTGGAATATTGCTGTAAGTGTGATTTGTCAGAGGGTGAGGGAACAAGTGTCCTTTAGCTACTGACATAATTATAATGTGATGTTGCTGGAATATTGCTGCAAGTGTGACTTGTCACAGGGTGAGGGAACAAATGCCCTTTAGCTACTGCCATAATTATAATGTGATGTTGCTGGAATATTGCTGCAAGCGTGACTGTTGTCACAGGGTGAGGGAACAAGTGCCCTTTACGGCTCGCTTCTGCCATACACTCAAATGTGATGTTGCTGGAATATTGCTGCAAGTGTGACTGTTGTCACAGGGTGAGGGAACAAATGCCCTTTAGCTACTGCCATACATTCTAATGTGATGTTGCTGGAATATTGCTGCAAGCGTGACTGTTGTCACAGGGTGAGGGAACAAGTGCCCTTTAGCTACTGCCATACATTCTAATGTGATGTTGCTGGAATATTGCTGCAAGAGTGACTGTTGTCACAGGGTGAGGGAACAAGTGCCCTTTAGCTACTGCCATACATTCTAATGTGATGTTGCTGGAATATTGCTGCAAGCGTGACTGTTCTCACAGGGTGAGGGAACAAATGCCCTTTAGCTACTGTCATACATTCTAATGTGATGTTGCTGGAATATTGCTACAAGTGTGACTGCTGTAAGTGATACATTCTAATGTGAGTGTGACTGCTGTTACAGGGTGAGGGAACAAGTCCCCTTTAACCACTGCCATGCATCCTTCAGACAGACAGGTTATCATCAGTTTTGTTTACAAGACTGAGATAATGCTGTTCTATTTCACTAATGCATGCATGAAATGCAGGAGTGAGAAGGAGAGGAGTTTGTGTTGACAAGCTACACAGTTATGTCACAAGTGCCAATATAAACGTGATAGAGAGAGTCCTGCTTCCACGCTGGTGGTCAGTCTGTTTGGATACTTGTGAGCTGTAGGGTGTAGCTTTACTTTGGTGTTACAACATTGTTGACTTGATGGAGGTGCAGTTGTTACTGTCCACGTCTCCTCTGGAAGGTCTGCATGCCAGTGAGCAGGACCATGCCTGTGAGCAGGACCATGCCAGTGAGCAGGACCATGCCTGTGAGCAGGACCATGCCAGTGAGCAGGACCATGCCAGTGAGCAGGACCATGCCAGTGAGCAGGACCATGCCAGTGGGCAGGACCATGCCTGTGAGCAGGACCATGCCAGTGAGCAGGACCATGCCTGTGAGCAGGACCATGCCTGTGAGCAGGACCATGCCAGTCAGCAGGACCATGCCAGTCAGCAGGACCATGCCAGTGAAGATGACCGTAGGGACACTTACGAGGATGAGTTTATGGACGATTTTGAGGATGAGCTCATGTGCAGTTTCGTGGACAGAGGTATAGACAGTTTCTGAAATGGTTAAGTTAGGCTTAAAACCAGTTGCCTGGACATGACCTTGTCTCACCTTATCCATCTTATAAGGATAGAAGTTATGTTTAAAGTGTAGACCCACAATGACCTTGTTCTCTACCTTATCCATCTTGTGCCAAACCTGGATAGAACAGTTTTCACTTTTTTCCTCAGCAGTTCCCAGGAAAGTCTGTTGGCTTGATCCCTCACAATTGTTGACTCTCTTGTTCCCTCATCTGCATGTTCCCTTTTCTTCCTAAACTGCCAAACCTGTTCCTTTCACTCATATCCCAACCTCTTTCACTTGATTATATTTCCATCACTCACTCATTCACCTCTTCCCTACTGGAGTCCCTCAAAGTGTTATACAGCTGTAACCATTAAATATTGCTGTCCCTCAAGTGTTATACAAGTGTGGGGTAAAACTAAACTCACTCACCTCTTCCCTTACTCTGCCCCTCAAGTGTTAGACTACAACTCCTTCCTGTAACCATTATATAAACTCCTTCTGTTATACAACCATTCCAGTATTTGTCACTTTATCATGTTTATTCCTCAAGTCTTCCCTACCGTATTCCCATGAAGCGCTTCTGTTATTTCATTCCAACCTTTTGTCCCTTGCCCATTGTTCCTTCAGTTTTTCCTTTTGCCTACATTTTTCCTTCACTACTACACTTATCCAAATCAATCCCTCACCATTTTTCCCTTGTCTCTCACCTCTTCCTGTGAATTTACCCTCTCTTGGCCATTTACTGTAATTATGATCCCTCAAGTGTTATACAACTCCTTCCTGTAAGATCAGACCAATTGGTAACCATAAACAAATAACATTCTATTGTTCCCAAACAAACAATATGTTGGTTATCTGCCCCAAATATAATATACTCACTAAATCCCTTATATGTCCCTCAAGGCAGTGAATGATGCAATTAGTGAAGCAAACTTAATATAAAGCTTGGCATGGATAGGAAGTGTGTCTTCCAAGTTACATGTTCCTCAAGTTTCATTCCTAAGCCTGTTATTTTTCTTTGACAAATGAATTCAAAAAATGGCAATATGTAATTATTGAGGTGATCATTAACCCCACACTTCACCACCAACATGTGACCAACACAAAAACATATATTTATGTCAAAAGAAGTTAAAGAAAGACGGATTGTATTTTGTTACTTTAGTTCACATGTCATAGTATACACATTAATTGAAGTTTCATGAAAGAATCGGCATGACAGATTAGCTTCGACACGAAGTTGCTTGAATTAAAGGTTCTTAAGATTAGGTCTTTTACAAGTACACACTAATTCACCGTGAACATGCAGCAAATCCATCTGACAAATAATCAGTTAATTGTAACTCCCTCAAATATCGTGAAATAATTTGCCTCCATACAAAAGGACATTGCAAGGGATGTTCAGTGTACATGGCATTGACAGATGTGCTGTATATCACAATCGGTAACTGGAGAGTCTTCCTGCATCAAACTCTATCATTTCAACATCCTGTTTCCACTGATTCCTCTAGTTTAACGTCACCTGTCTGCTCTGGAGGTAGTTCTCCACACTGTTGCAGCTGTAAAAAATAAACCCTGCCTCTATTCCTCAAAGAGAATTGCTGATGAAGCCTGCATTGTAATCGTGTTACACTCGAGAGCATGACTTAAATTACAGCGATAATGCAATAGGCTACATCCCAGAGAATAATGCATGTATGATAATCTCATGGAGCTGTCGGGTGCTGCTAGATTTATGATTTACATGCGATTCACTTCCACATGATTATCTTGTGAACAAAGGCATTTTACTCATGGAAAGTTCTGTAGAAGGAGTCTGTATGTGAAAGTAACCTGTTTAACTATATGTGAATTGTCCACTGATATGATATATACTTTATTGGACTTACTTCCGCTTTTGTTTTTTTTAGATCCAACTTTTTTACTCTACTCGACTGTAGCCGAAAGATGTGAAACATTTGAGTGTCAGCTGGAAGCGTTGATTGCCATTTACAATTCCATTAAGATTGGTTATTTTATGTCGCCAGTTGGCTTTGTATCGTCCAGAGTAATTTAGGAATCTTCAAGCATGCAGTGCCAATATGTGGTGATTCTGGGGCACAAAGTGCATCCCTTGCAATGTTGTAAATGCGAACTTTGCATAAAAAACCCATTAATGGCCTGTTGGTCTGCAGAAACACAGTTATGTGTCATCTC